TCATCATTAACCTTCGTTTCATATTACATTTAAAAGCATTTTCGTACTTTGCAGATGTTAACGACAAATACTGCTTTTTCTTAAGTGAAAATGAAAGATTATACAGAACAAGAGAACCTTGTAATTTGGGTAATACTTCATATCGATTTAAGCTAACAACCAGAGCCAAATGAATCGTTGGTGACTCCAGGTGCACTTCTACAGTTGACCTAGTGCCACTAAAATAAGTTTCACCCATACTCAGCTCATATTCTGCAGTTCTCACCCAAAGAGCACCGCAATGTCCCAAGTCCCAAACCACGAATATACACAATAAAGCTTCGATAAGTGTCCTCGTCTTCATAATGATAGCCCAGGGTCCAAAATGGGGGTGAATACAAAAGGCTCCAATCTATTAGCTCCAAATCCGAGCGGAGGTGGACTAAGCAATCCGGGGATCAGATGGAGGTGCGTCGTAGCAGGCTCCAGCCCGGCCTGTTAGCTGCGTGTCCGGACGGTGTAGCAGTCTCCGGCCTGTTAACTCTGCGTCCAGGCAGTATAGCAGGCTCCGTCCTGTTAGCTCCGCGTCCGGGTGGTGTAGCATACTCCGGCTTCGTTAGCTTCGAAATACGGACAATGTAGCCGGCTCCAGCCTGCCAGCTCTGAGTCCGGGAAATGCAGCGGGCTCCGGCCTGATTTGCTCCGAGTCTGGGGGACGCAACAGTCCGAGCTAGCTCCAAACAGTGCTAGCTCCAAGTCCGAGCGGGGGAGGACAAGGAGGACAGGGCAGGGCCCAGCCTGCCCTCCCAGGAATCTAGTAGACGCAGTAGGCACTGGCAGGCTCCGGCCCATCAATCCAGAGTCCAGTTGGAGGCGGACACGGTAGACTCAGGTTTGCCTACCCAGAGTCAGTATTTAGACCGGCCCGCTTTGCCCAAAGCCCTATTTCAGTCCAGAGGGAGACGCTACGGCGAGAGTTTACGTGTCGCCATCTTGGAAAAAATTCAGTGTTGTGACAGTCAGCTGGAAATGGAAGATAAGGCAAGAAAAGGAAAACTACAGGAGGAAGATGGAAGAGCAGCTGCAACAGGACAATATCAGAGGGGTTTGGAACAGCCTGAAGACAATCTCAAGACAAAAACCAACCCCCCAGGCTGCAGGAGACTTGGGGTGGGTGAATGACCTAAATAAATATTTGAATAGGTTTGATCAACCAGCCACCCCTCCCCCATCACCGTCCCCCCTGCTGCCATTTCCCTCATCTTCAGGAACTGCCTGTCTTTCATCTCAGGACTTCTGTTCAATCTGTGCCTGTCACTGGGGAAAGTACCACAGCTGTGGAAGACATCCTGTGTGGTACTGGTACCAAAGACGTTCCTCTTCACCCTCTATACTGCAGACTTCTCCATCAACTCCCCATGCTGCCACCGACAGAAGTTCTCTGACGACTCTGTCATAGTCAGCCTCATCACAGGAGTACAGACAGTGAACTCTGGACTTTGTGGACCAATGCCAGCAGAACCACCTGCTGATCAACACTGGAAAAACCAAGGAGTTGGTGGCGGACTTCCGGAGATGCAGACCGACCACATTGACAGCGGTGAACATGCAGGGAGTGGACATTGAGATAATGGACTCGTATAGGTGCCTGGGTGTTTACCTGAATAATAAGCTAGACTTGAGCCACAACACAGATGCTCTATACAAGAAGGGTCAGAGCAGACTCTACCTGGTGAGGTGGCTGAGGTCATTTGGAGTCCAGGGAGCGCTTTTAAAGACCTATGACTCTGTGGTGGCATCTGTAAGTTTTTTACAGTGTTGTATGTTGGAGCTGCTATTTATTGACAGCTGAGAGGAAGAGGTTGGATAAACTCATCAGGAAGGCCAGCTCTGTACTGGGATGCACCCTGGACCCCAGTGCAGGTGGTGGGAGACAGAAGGACTCTGGCCAAAATAACATCTCTGTTGGACAGAGTCTCCCACCCCATGCATGCATGTAAATGTTGCTGAACTGCAGAGCTCCTTCAGTGACAGACTGCTGCATCCTGGATGCACGAAGGAGCATTTCCGCAGGTCCTTCCTCCCTGCAGCTGTCAGACTGTACAATCAGAACTGCTCCCAACAAACATAGATGTTTACATCAGCGCTGTAACTTGGCACTATTTTATCAACCAATTCACACTATAACCAGGGTTTGCCTCTTATCTGTATTTAATTTAATTTAATTTAATAACAGTACAGTACTCTGTTTTTGGTAACCATTGTCCTTGATGTAAATATGTAAAAAATGTGTATGTTTGTTTGTATATGTGTCTTTCTTGCTGCTGTTACACCCAAATTTCCCCTTGTGGGACAATTAAAGGATTATTCTATTCTATTCTATTCTATTCTACTGGTCACTACAGCAGAAGATTTGCCTCCTATGTTTCTAACATCCTTTTCAGTCACACCAACCCTATGTATGTCTTCCTTCACTACATCCATGAATCTTCTTCAATCTTTTTTTCTCTTTTTCTCTTTCTAAAAGCAGTGTTAGGGAGTAACGAAATACATGTACCAGCGTTACGCATTTAAAATACAAAATATAAAATATAATATAATATAACTGTATCCTGTTAACGTTTAAATAGGTGGTAATCGGAATACAGCTACTTTGTTGAAATAAATGGAATACACAGTGGTCATTTCCTGTTTCGTATGTTAGGCTATCCCCTCTCTATGTCTTCTCCAATTTGGTGATTAAACACAGTCAGGCGCAGGTTTAGCTCAGTTGGATCCGCATGTAATTACATATCACATGGCTGAGAGCGGCTGGCCCAGGTTCGAGTAGGATTCGCAGCCTTTTATAAAAAAAATACCCCCCCCCAAAAAAAACAAACAAACAAAAAAAACAAAAAACAACCCAATTTCTATTTGGGATTAATACAGTTTCTCTGATTACTAACATTGTTAGCTGGCGTTAGCTGAGGTTAGCTCATAGACTGCAGACTGTTAGGCCGTTTCTAAATACTCATGTACTTGAGTCCGTACTCGTGTTCTTGCTAGTCTGGACTTCATAAGTTCACACGGGAGTCCGGACTTTCCGAGAACGCAGTGCGATCATTCCACAATTGGAACAGCAGTGTACATGATGATATCACAGCTCCGGAGTTTTTACTGCCATCCCCTCTTAATTTAACTGTAATTAATATTTGCAATGGAAATGACACATGACATAAAAAAATGACACATGATGTAGTAGATTTCTTTAAAAAAAGATAATTGAAACTAATTTGATTTGAACAAATATTTAAAATATAATCTGATCATTTTTGGAGCAGCCATCTCCAGTATTAACATGCTGTTTTTAGACTTGATGGATAGCATTAACAACCTGCTACCTGCAAATAATCATGTGCAGTTACACATGATTATTGACAGACAAAAAGAAAACATATTACTGATACCGAAATAGTTTTCTATACAAGATCAATGCAAAAAGTGCAGCCTTACCTAATGTCCATCCCACTGTTATTCATTTTATATTAAGATTCAAAAATTTTGTTGGTATTGGTAAGTGAGTAACCTTCAGTAATGGTAATAAATCACACAGCAATAGTGCATTCATGTAGTTGTAAAAAGCATGATAATATATGTAAGAGCTGTTTTTCTCTTGTTATCAGCTTCCTGGTTTTCATTTTGTCTCCTCACTACAATCGTAATCTCAAAAGATAAAAAAAAATGTTTATTGACTCAAAGGAGAGCTAACTGACTTCTAATGACGGAACAATCCTTAAAACAGGAAACTTTTTCAGCAACAAGTTAAAATGTCCATCCATCCATCCATCTTCATCCGCTTTATCCGAGGCCGGGTCGCGGGGCCAGCAACCTTGAGCAAAGAGGCCCAGACCTCCCTCTCCCCAGCCACCTCCTCCAGCTTATCCGGGGGAACACCAAGGCGTTCCCAGGCCAGCCGAGAGATATAATCTCTCCAGCGTGTCCTGGGTCTGCCCCGGGGCCTCCTCCCGGTGGGACATGCCTGGAACACCTCACCCAGGAGGCGCCCAGGGGGCATCCTTGTCAGATGCCCGAACCACCTCAGCTGGCTCCTTTCGATGTGGAGCAGCAGCTGCTCTACTCTGAGCCCCTCCCGGATGGCCGAACTTCTCACCCTATCTCTAAGGGAGAGGCCAGCCACCCTTCGGAGGAAGCTCATTTCTGCCGCTTGTATCCGCGATCTCGTTCTTTCGGTCACTACCCACAGCTCGTGGCCATACTTGAAATCCTCCACTTGGGGCAGGAACTCATCCCCGACCCGGAGTGAGCACTCCACCCTTTTCCAGCTGAGAACCATGGCCTCAGATTTGGAGGTGTGACTTTGAAAATTTTTCATTTCAGGAATTTCAACTGCTATAACTTTCTACAGAGTCATTTATATGAAACATGAGACTGACCGAGAAACTGCCTGGACAACAAAACAGATGGGGAGGCTTTGTCCTTCTTCTCTTTCAGATGGTGTCCATCTCAGGGTGAACTGTCCTGGTCCTGATGTGTTATTGATTAAATTGTATGGCCCGCTGTAGAGCAGCTCAGAGATCCTTCAAAGAACAAAATCAAAAACTGTCAAGTTTCTTTTTTTCAATATCTCCGCGACTACAAAAGGAGCATATTTCTTTGGTTTCCCAACTAGAGCACAGCTTTTATTAGGCCATGCTTGTTTTTTGTTTTGATTTTTTGCATATACCAACCAACCTTGGAAGTGTTTCATGTGCCTTACTTTCAATGTTTACTGTTGTTTTACCTAATCTTTTTGTATTTATGTCCTTAAATCTGTATTGTCTTGGCTGTTTTTCACTTACTGTGTCGTCTAAATTGACCTGACTGTAATCTTGTACATCAGCACTGGAGTTTTTTATTACTAAAGATCTGGTCAGATATGTAACTTAATAACCTGAAACATATTTTAGATTTGCACATCACTCATTTCTATAGATTCATGACTTGTAGGACTATATTTTCATATCTACCCATAGGCTGCTCTGAATAAATATTTAAACTTTTATATATTCAGACAAAGTCTTTAACTGTGTTTTACTTACGTGGAGTTAAGTGCCTCTGCAGTGATGTGAATTTCCAGAGTCTGACTGACGTTGTAGAGCTGAGCTCCGTTGGCTGGTGTTGGAGGAAGAAACTTGGGCAGAAAGAGTCCTTCTGTGCAGGATGGCACTGCAGGATCAACTGGAAGAATACAGAGAAGTTAAGGTGATTCTCACAGGATGCAAAGATGATCCAGAGTAAAATATCTGCTGGACAGATTAATATTTGTTGGTCCAGAGAATCAGTCCCGATGACACTGGTGGTCAAACATCTCTGTACATCAGGCCGAGCACTAAGTTCATCAGCAGCAGCTCTTTAGTGCTTTCATTGTAAGATAATGAAACGTATATAGGTACCTTTCAAAGCAAACTGAATCGGTATTTTGCTGATGGCATTGTTGGTAGTTATTGTTGTTTGTGTCCCGCTGGTTTGAGTCAGAGTGATGGTCTGTCTGGGGAAGTCCTCCATCACCAGCTGTACTACATACGAACCTTCATTACTGCTGCTGGTGGGGCTGAATGACAGAGTACAAGACGACTGCAAGAGGACGAAAATGGGTTTGAAGTTAAAATAACCAAAATGTTTTTTGTCATGTAATTAAATTGAAGGCTATAAATAACTGCTACTTCTTTTGGACAAACTTTCACTTCTACCAAATCGATATCAATTGTAATTCAATTAAAAAAATTCCCATCACATTATTGCATGACTGTCTGTGCCAGCTTTTAGTCTTTGCCTGTCTCATCTGACATGAGAGTAACAATCATTGCTCACCGATGAGAGGCTGAGGACAGAGGGTGGAGTGCAGGGGTTACACTCTGAGAGTGCAGAGTTTCCATATCTGCATTTAACTTCGTCTCCATCAGGGTCAAACATCAACAGGCTGAAATCTCTCTGACAGTTTGAAGGAACTCTGAGAGAGAAACAAAGATTGTAGCTCTATTTGCTGTATTCATTTTAATGTAACGAACGGGTGATAAATACTTTGTTAAATTAATTGAAAATGAAAAGGATAAATGAAAAATATGAAATGTAAAAGAAAACTAGATTTATAACAAAGATACACACATAAAGTGGGCTTACCTCACAGCTGGTAGGATGGTGGTCTGAGGTGATGTGTTGGCTTTGCTGATGTCAGACCGGTTCCTCAGTTCCACCCGAGTCACGGCTCTCCATGATATGATGTTATTGATGTTTGATATCCAGTTACCACTATTCAACCTTGATAGAAAATTCAGTTTTCAAAGTCTGAACATAACATGTTTTAGTAAATTATTAGTTTACCATGTGTCACTCATCAAAAAGACTGTTTAGTGGAGCTGCTGATGTTTTGGGGAAGTTGTTTTGTCGCCCTTCAGTGACAATTAAAAATTGTTTTTACAAATGACTTTTTCCTGTTGTTGTACACTCACCAAAGTTCAAACGGAGCGTTGCTGGAAACCCGTCGAGTCATGATTCCCTCTCTCTGACACCAGTCGCCACTGCTCTCCTGTTTTACCACATATAGTGTGTAGGTTCCAGTCCCACAATCACCACTGAGGCAACTCCATATATCACCATGTGTGCAGTCGTGGAAGTTCAGTTTATACCGAACGGTCACCTGTAGAGTTACAGCCACAAAGTGTTTACCTAACATTTTCAAGTTTTCAAGTCCCTAAATTATTTTAGAAAGAAAATGTACGTACTGTGACAGATCCATCTGCAAAAGTGTCCTTTGGGTAGTAGGTCATGACTGTGCCTAAAAAATGTGAAGCCTGAGTGCCGCAAACCATCAGCAGCACCAAAGATGTCTCAGAGAGCAACATGATGAATGTGTGTGTCTTTGCACAAAGGCAGAAATCACTGAGAACACCTGTACATCCAAAGACAGCCTCACTTTCACTCTGTCCTTTTGTCTGATGTTTTTTTCCCACACGGAAGTTGATTCAGTTTGTAAATCAGAAAATTACCTGGAATGAGGAAACGTCTTTCAAAGATTACAGTCAGATGGGTATTGCACCGAATGCAGCTGTCTAAACCACCTGCAAGAAGCACGAGTATATTTTCAACTATATTTAAACAAAGTTGTTTTGAATTTGTCAAAACAACATTTGTTTTTAATTTCATCTTTTGGGGGGCGACCATGGTTCAGGGGGTTGGGGAGCTAATGTTGTTTGTGGAAGGTTGCCAGTTCAACCCCCTGTCTGTCTCAGTCGTTGTGTCCTTGGGCAAGACACTTCACCTATCGCCTAGTGGTGATGGCCAGAGGGACCGATGGCGTGGTATGGCAGCCTCGCTTCGGTCAGTCTGCCCCAGGGCAGCTGTGGCTACAACTGTAGCTTGCCTCCTCCAGTGTGTGTGGATGTGAGAGTGACTGAATAGTGGAAATGTAAAGCGCTTTGAGGGTCTCGAAAAGCGCTATATAAATGCAATGCAATCCAATCTTTCAGTTGTAATAGTGATTAACACAGTGTCAATTGGTTTTGTGAAACAAAAGTTACTTCTTTTTTTTATTTTTTTTATTGAAAGTTTTGTAATTATGACAGTCATCCACATGAAAAAAACAAAAAAACAAAAAACAGTAAAAAAAACCAAACAAACAACTTATGATCATCGCTTCACTCTCATGGTATGTTTAGACCAAACACAAATCCCTCTTTTCCCATAATTACATATAGATATACAAAATTTGAGCCCCAGTCATCTTTATGGACCGCCAGCCCTGTATCATTCAGCTTTGATATGGAGACAGAAAAAATAGGAAGGGAAAATATTGTAAAATCCAAATTCATTCTATATCTCACAAATGATCATTTCTGTGCAGATTGTACCTTCTTATTTTCCTTTGGCTTTGCTAAGAAATAACGTCTTATTGCAGATTATATTCTGCCACTGAGAACCTCATAAGCTCTTTTATAAAAAGGTACTTTAATTTAGCAATACACAACAAAAAACCCCAAAAATAACAAAACAAAAAACGCCAACCAAACAAACAAAGATACTACGCACTAATAAAAACAATCAACCAAACAAACATAATACGCACTGACAATAACATAATGGCACAGTGAAACCCTCCCTGATCTTCGTCCATCCCTGATCATATTTGGAAGGGTAAACAACCTTAAAAAAAAAAAAAAAAAAAACGTCCTTAGCAGACCTTCCTTCTTCCAGTAGTTGCGTGAATACCTCATCCCACGTTACCACCTTCAACAAATCTCTCCCATTTCCTCCAGTTTTTATGAAATTGGTCCATTTTAAGGTTAAAAAAAAAAGTAAGTTTTTCCATTCTATATATTTCCTCCATTATTCCTATCCAATCTTTCTTTGTTGGGGGCTCTTTCTCCAGCCACCTCCTGGTAAGCGCTTTTTTGCCAGCTCCCAACAGGATGTTTATCAAGTATTTGTCCTTTAAGGAGGCTGCTGATGGGATATCGCCCAAGTACACAGTACAAAAATCCAAATTTAGTTTGAGACCAGTCACCAAGTAAATTGATTCGACCAATTCACTCCAGTATGACAGGATTATTGGGCATTTCCAAAATATATGGAAATGATCTGCCATGTTTTCCCCACAGTTTCTCCAGCAGTGTCCATCTGTCAGTTGACCTTTTTGTTTGTATTTTATTTTGGGTGTTATAAAAAACCTAATAAAATTTTTCCACGTGAATTCCCTCCAATAACCCGAGCTAGTAGTTTCCATCTGTGTCCTGCATATATTTAACCAACTGTCCTCTGATATGTTGATTTTAGCCTCCGTTTCCCATTTAATTTGGATATAATTGGTTGATTGATCCTTAAGTGATTGTAAGCAACTTTTGTTGTGTTTACAACAAAAGTTACTTCTGTTCACAACAGATCACAGAGAGTGCAAGCTCCATGTTTCATTAGTGTCTCTTGTGCATGGTAAAATGTACTACAGTCAATACTAGTAGTGCAACGGATCAAAAAACTCACAGTTCGGTCCGGATCACGGTTTTGAGTCACGAATCAGCAAAAAAAGAAATAGGCAAGAAAAATTTAACTCTCAGTTTTTTTATTTAAATACTTTTTGGCCATTAAAAACATTCAACTCAAAACTCATTCCCCGCAATTATATAAAACAAATTAAGGTGCATAATAGGGTATAATAATCATTTCCTTTAATGTGGGCACAATCAAAAACAACTTAAAATGCAATTTAGGTATCATTCCTTCCTACTTTGAACATGGAGAATGAATAACACTCCACATCAAAAATGAAGAAACAAAGCAAAGCAGACGTATGCCTATAACTTCAATTTTTTTTTCAAAAGATGAGGATTTCTACATTCTCTGGGGAGAGTGTAGACCTCTGTGCTGTAACTATCTCCCCTGCTGTTGAGAACACTTTCTCGCTAGGCACTGAAGTGCCAGGCACCACAAGCTAGACTCTTGCCAACATGGCAAGGTGAGGGTATTTACAGTCATTGCTTTTCATCCACGTCAGTGGATCACCATTGACTGGAATGCCACTTGCAGCCACATAGGATGCCACCTCCTCTTTGATGGTGTCAGCAAAAGCCTTGCTGCCCATGTCCTTTGGTGCAAATGTCTTGCCAAAAAGCTGCGCCATTGCCGACTTCTTTTGACAAGACATGTGTCTGCTCCTGGTGGTGCTGCTTGACCCTGCAGGGAAAGTTACTTCATAGATTAAAACATTTTTTTAATATATATTTCATAGATGTTAAAATGGGGCAATAACTTAAACATCATCATTATAAATAAATAATACATAGTTTTAAAATATTTATTTTCTTTACCTCTTCACAGTCTACAGTGCGAAGACTGCTCACAATCTCAGTAGTGAGATCACTGTATATCCTCAGGCATAGAGCAAGGTTTAGGTGAGACAGGGACTTGAACCTTTAATCAAGTGCAGTAGATCTGTGAAGGTAGTCCTGTAGGGTTGGTGGGGAAGTGTTTCTGGGCTTCAGGTCCTCTCTAATGGCAGACTTGACGTGATGGCGCTGTCTTCCTCACTTGGGGCCATGGATTGTAGGATCCTTGTTTTCAGAGGCAGGATCATGAACACAGATGGTGCAGTTTCAGTGTTCAACAGAGTTGTAACCGCTTTGAGTGGTTTAAGCAGCTGGAGGACCTCCTCTGCCACTCTAACATTATTATCAGACAAGGTGACAATGTCTCTGACATTTTTCTTCAGGTTTTTATCTGTTGTGACATCATGTACGAGCTTATGAGTAGGCAGCTGTAGCATAACTTGCTTGGTCTTAAGCACATGAGCAGCTGTTGAGCTTTTGTCTAAGTAGGAAACCACCTTCCTTATCCTCCCAAGGAAGCGTCCCATCTTACTCAATATAATTCCTTTTTGGGATGCTAAATTAATTGCATGTGCTAAGCACCCTATCTGTGGGCTCAGTCCTGCCTCATTCACTGCATTTATTTGGTTTATAGTATTATCTGTTGTGACTGGGATGTTATTATTGGGCCTCTATATCCTCCACTCCACCACTGTTCCAGTAAATGCGCCAGATTTGTGTCTTTCTGACTCTCATAGAGGGAGCGTGTCTGCAGTACAGGGCTTTGTATTGTGGGATTGTGGGATTGTGGGATTTGAATCCGTAATAGTTTGGGGGCTCGTCCTGTGGTATTGGGGTGGAAGTTGGAGGTTTGGACGGTCCAAGGTTGTCGAACGGACAGGCACGAGCCAGTGGTCTGACGTGAGTGGGCATAAGCCGGCTTATACAAAGGTAAGGCACTACCTGTTGAATCTATTTCCAAAGTGTGCCAAATTGGACATGATAAAATTAAAGTCTACTCACTGAAATTACTGGTGGATGTCTGTTTTGATTTTGATGAAAAAATCTCATGAGTTAAAGCAGTTAGAGTCTGCTAAGAAAAGTTTAAATACTGGGTTAGAGTCCCAAGAAATTGAGTTAGAGTCTCAAGTAGTTTGTAGGGAATTGGTCATTTTGTTGGTTAGAGTCCAAATTGGTTATAAGAGTGGACCTGAGTGGTCATTTTGTGAGTTAGAGTCTCCATTGACCTCTAGGTTGCACTTGCCTCAGTCAGACTCTTGTTTTGGGGTGCTGACTGTTGTTTCAAAGTGTTATAAATTATTATAGGACGGCAGTTAGAGTTTGCTAAGAAGTGCATAGCCCGGAGGTTACTCTCCCTCCTGGCCGTGGACGCGCGAACC